AATGACATATGAACTCAGCCCAATCACTGTAAAAAAACGGGGCGGCACATATACGACGGCGTTTTGATCCTATGAACTGATCACCGCTCGGGCGCTCTCTCACTGTCGCAGTACTTGGCGCGCTCTAGAACTAGATGACAATGCTTCCCGCGGATTGGAAGAAGTGAAAATGAAGTGGTACTTTGTAGCTTTTCTCCTCACCGTCCTCACCAGTTCTCAGGTCAGTGTTTTTCTTTTCTTTTACTTCAAACTTCAATAGTTTAATTCTCCTTCATTGCAATTTTCGCACTCCCATGAATTTCCGTGCTCTCCACTCATAAATCCTTAACCCTAATCGCTTAGAATAACGATTAGATCTAAATAAATTCTAATGTTTGGCAGGGTATACTAACAACTCTGTCGCAAAGCAATGGCGAATATAAATATGATTACGCCACCGTTCCTTTCCTTGCTGAGGTTTTTAAGGTGTTTTCAAATTTCCATCGAACTTTCTTAATTATAGATCCGAAAATGGATTGTTGATTTTGTATTAATTTGTTTTTGTTACAGCTTATTGTATCAAGTGTTTTTCTGTGGAGAGAGTGTAAGAAATCGCCTCCTCCGAAAATGACAACGGATTGGAAAACTGTTCGATTGTTCCCGATTCCATCTGTCATTTACTTAATCCATAACAATGTCCAATTCGCTACTCTTATGTATGTCGATACTTCCACGCATCAGATAATGGGCAATTTGAAGATTGTCACTACTGGAATTTTATTCAGGTACTACCATCAGTCTTGTATTTGAACTCTCTTTTTATGTATCTAGCAGCATTTGATGTCGATAGTGTTCTCTTGAGTTAGCAGATGATGTTGTTTCATGATTTAGGTTGTTTCTTAAGAAGAAGCTTTCTAATCTACAGTGGATGGCGATCATTCTATTGGCTGTTGGAACAACCACGAGTCAGGTACTCAAGTTGTCTAATTAAACCATGTATGTATTTTACTGTGGTTTGTGCTACATTGACTTGTGGTTCAAGAAAAAAGTTGTGGATGGTTAAAATTGTTTTGATGTTGGAAAATTAATGTATTTTTGCCTCTCAAACTTGAATCCCGTGTGAGAAATGAGATACCAAGCAATGGTTTTACCAGTTCCGGAAGAAGTATAGAGTGCTTAAATAAGAAATAAGTTGGAAGTAGTAGTTAATGTGATAATTTCTTTTCTAGTAGTAAAGTGAATAAATGCTTTACTAAATTTGATGCATTGACGGAATTTTAAGAAATGAAAGAAAAAAGGAGAGGGAGAATATGAAGGAATGGCAACGAGCAACAACTTGGTTAAGAATGCAACATCTATTTGTAGGAAGCTGTGGTATCTCATTAGGGTCAATGACATAAGCTCTTGAAGCAGTCTATCTCCAACTTCTTGTTTTCTTTTGGTGTGAGCCCTTTTCTGTTAATAATTTAGTGAAGTATAAACATAGCTTTCACAATTCGGATTATCTTTCTTTCTTATCTTTATTAAGGTCAAAGGATGTGGAGAGGCTTCATGTGATTCCCTCTTCTCAGCACCAATTCAAGGATACATGTTAGGAATTTTGTCTGCTTGTCTTTCGGCATTGGCTGGTGTGTACACAGAATTCTTGATGAAGAAGAATAATGATAGCTTATACTGGCAGAATGTACAGTTGTACACGTAGGTTCCTTTCTTCTTTATTATTATTGTTTTCGTGTGTGCACGCACGCACAAAGTTTTCACTGCCTTGTTATTCAAGGGAAATATTACTTTGAATATAAATATCTTTTCCTAGTTTGTTTTTCTGATCTCTGGTACAGAAGTTCATATAAAATTGGGAAATGCCCTACCTTTGAGTGCGGTTTGAACTATTGATTTACATGATTGGAAGTAACCAATTAAGTTTACGACGAAATTGAGAAATTGATCACTGATCCAATTTGGGTACCTCTAGAGGAAAGACCTCAACAGAAAACTGCAGAGTAATGGCAGCAAGTGATTGAGTTCAGTAGTTCTCATATAAAATTATTGACCCTAGAGATATAGTAATATGGAGAAGACAAAATTGTTATGTCACCATTTTATGCGTATTAATTCTATCCTTTGAAAGTAATTAACGTGAGTGCTGGTTGATTAATTCCGATTTGATGATCTTCTTCCAGGTTTGGTGCAATCTTCAACATGGCACGGCTTGTATTCGATGATTTTAGAGATGAATTTGAGAGAGGACCTTGGTGGCAACGGCTGTTTAATGGGTACAGCATCACAACTTGGATGGTTGTGCTAAATCTAGGTTCTTCTGGCTTTTGGTTTCATGGATAATGAAATACGCTGACAACATAGTCAAGGTACCTTCTTTTTAACTATTCTTGATTATGTGTGTGATCCTCCGTCCATATGCAGGTGAATGCCATATTGTCAATAGATTTTGTGTTTTATTTCTGAACCTGGAGTTTTCTCTTTGATGTGTATGCTTATAAATTCTGAGCTGCTTTGTAATGGTTTGAAATTTTGGATATAATTCCTCTTTTTTCTTTTTGACTTGTTTTTACTTATTTATTCAGGTGTATTCTACATCGATGGCCATGGTATTGACAATGGTTCTATCTGTGTTCCTCTTCAGTTTCAAGCCAACGCTTCAGGTAGGCTTCCTTGCTGCAGTCTGAAGAAGATATCCAGCCCTTAATTTGATATCTAAACGTGTTATTGTGGTATAATATTCATCCTGAATATAGACATGTCCAAGAGTTGAGCTACCTTTGGCAACGTTTTTCAATTCAAGCCCATATTACTATTCATTAATTAAAAGATACATTTTATTTAAATTTAATTATATAAAATATACAAATAAGATTATATAAAGCCCTTTTTAATACTTCAGTTTTGTATAACAGTAATTTAGGCTTTTGGACTGGGTATGGGTAAGGGAAGTGAAAAAGTTTTGGCTCCGATTTTCCCTGTTTGATGGGCAAGTCTACCTGGATGTAGCCATTATATTTATTTTATTTTTGGCTTTGAGTTTCATTGTTAATGAAAAATGCCCTCTCACACACAGTCCAGATTGTTATATCAATGATGGTCTGAACTAGATACCAATCCCCAAATATGGTTCCTAAGTGTGTTATTGCCATAGTGTTCCAAACCTTGGATGTTGGTGTTAAATTTATGTTTTGTTGGGCTTTTAGTTTTAGTTTCATTGTTAACAAGAACCGCTCCACTCACAGAAACGGATAATCCGATATTTTATCTTGTTCGGTAATTTATGGGTCATCCTGCCTGTTTCAGTCATTTTATGTGAAAATAGTTATTCAGACATACAGAAGCCTTTTTCAGGGCTCCTACATTTGTGCTGCCAGTTTTGTTTGGCAATTAACTTTTGATTGCTTATTTTTCTTTTCGTGGCATTCTTGCAGCTTTTCTTGGGAATCATTATTTGCATGATGTCATTACATGTGTATTTTGCACCTCCAAGTATGCTTGTTGACTTGCCACCAACAGTTAAATCAGATCCAGAGAGCCTTGTCAATATTCCAGTTGGTCATAAAACAGATTCATGACGATCAACATCTTTCCCGAAGTTTGTAATTCTTTTGCAATTCTCCTATAAAAGGAAATGGAATTTATTGACAGATTATCTCTCACCAAATGGAAGTCATCAATAGGAATTTAGTAAGATTTTTTACAGCTGAACATACAACACGAAAGTGATCCCTGCTAACAAGGTCAGGTTGTCTTGTTTGATTACATTAAACTGAGCATTTTCTCATTTGAATTACGAGGAAAAACCTTGTTTGCTAAACATTCACTCAAATGAAGATTATTTCTCTTTGTTTTTTTGGGTAGCCTACCATTTCATGCCTAGACGTTAACAGTTAGTTGACAAGAGATTTATGCATTCTCGCACTGGATTAATAAAAGCAGACTATACTGAAAGCAACTATATCTTGACTGGCTTGTATTGTTTTGCTATTGTAGCTATATGACAACTATGGTACTTATCAAACCACCATAAGTGGCTGATATCTGTCTTTTTACAAATTTTAGCTGCAGCTCTGTTAACAACAATGCAGTGACCAGTGGCCGGCACAAATAGTTTCAAGGTGGGTATTGAGTGTTCGATTGATGGGGCAAATGCATGGGATTCAAGTTCTTAATAATGGAGTTGATATGTGCGTAGAAGACTCGAGTATAATTAGGTGAAGGTTGCATTAAATTTGGATAGCTATGGAGATGTGAGAACCATATTATTGGATCAACCTTTCCGGCAACTTAGTCGGGATTTACTTTTAATTAGATGAAATTAAATGGAAAAAAATCTATAGTAGATCCAATAATGCAGAATTGCTTCCACTGTCAGAAGGTTTTGTGGCCCGAGGAGGCCAAAAACCAAGGATATTGCCGGCAGGTTTGGCAAGGTGCTGGCCTGCTATTGCAAAATCGATTTTCTCTTGCTAGATTTACATATTGATCTCTCCAAGTTATAATTCTCGAAACTACAAAGGCTCCACATCCTGCCGTATATCGATACCTCCATGTTATAATGACTCGTAATTTTTTAAAGAGAACATCATTTATTTTTACCATTTACATCACTCAATGAATTCAGAATTTAAAGTAAATCTTGATCTATATAACAATGAAGGGGTGGAACGGATGATATCATGTTTTCTATCATTCATTAATTGGACATTATATTTTATCACTAGTCCTATTTCATGATTGAAGTATAATTTTAAAATTTATGCTAATTAAGTCTTAATTTTAATCTGTTTGCCTTGTAAGCATATTGAACCCAAATAATTAAGTTAAATGTACACAGTGAGACTGGCCAGGATGGACTTTTGGATTCTCTTTAAAGAGAGAAAGCCCAATTTCATTAAAAAAAACCCGGAAGGACCATTTGATTTCACAATGAGACCATGAGACCGAGACAAGATGGGAGGCGTACGTTGGCATCTATTGACTATTATAAGGCAAAATCAAGCCGCCGCATCTTATATATAAACTGTTAGTACCAATCACCGCTACATATAAAAGGCCCAAAGGCATCTCTTTTCCTCATTTCTGTTTCTTTTTTTCTCTTTCAAAAAGCATCTGGCGCCAGGCTCTTTTTTTTTTTTTTTGCGCCTTCCGATATAAACCCTAGTTACCAGAGAAAGAAGAAATGCCGAGAGAAATCATAACACTGCAGGTGGAACAATGCGGGAATCAGATCGGAATGGAGTTTTGGAAACAGCTTTGCCTCGAACACGGCATCAGCAAAGAAGGCATTCTTGAAGATTTTGCTACTCAGGTTCTTTTTTATTATTATTATTATTATTATTATTATTATTATTTCTTTATGCTTTCAAGCTTCAGTTTCCAATTAATTATGTAAATTCATGTTAATTTCTTTCTATTTAATTGTAGTTTTATTCACAATTAAATGCATGTGATGATTTTGAGAAGTACGTGCTCTCTAATCAGTCAGATTAGGCCTTGAAGTCTCCATTAGGAATAGCTCAACTCTTAATTTGTTGATATTGAGGTGATTTTATGTGAGGTATAAGTGAGTCAGTTCTTGCTAGTTAAACATCAGTATCTCCCTGTCTTAATTTTCTCGGCGCCAATGATACAGGGAGGTGACAGGAAAGATGTCTTTTTCTACCAAGCTGACGATCTGCATTATATCCCAAGTGCTTTACTCATTGATTTGGAACCTAGAGTAATTAATGGAATTCAAAATGGTGAATACAAAAATCTCTACAATCACGAAAACATTTTTGTTTCTGATCATGGTGGAGGTGCTGGAAACAACTGGGCTAGTGGATATCATCAGATACGCTCACATGCGTTATCTTTTGCATTTTAGTAATGTTCCGTTATCAAATAAATTCATGGAGTCTTGGACCTTTATACTTTTGGTGATCCTATTCGAGTAGTTTTCAACTTTCGTTTCCTGTCAGTTTCATCTCCATTCTCCATCATTAAAGTATGTTTCAAGCAACAGTCAGAAACAATTATGGTCTTCTGCACATTCTTCCAAGTTAACATGTTCATATTATCATGTTGGTTAGAAACATATGATTGTAATTTCAAGTAACAGTAATTGTTACTGACAGCAGAATAGAATAAATTAACGTGTTCTTTCATGAAATGTTGAGGTTACTGGTTTTTCCTTTTTCAATTTTAGATTCATTTTTCCTTCTTTATATAGACTGTAGATTGCAAACTTTTATGGAAAAATCTGACATGAGTCGCATGACTTGTATGTGTTAATTATCTTTTATCAAAATCCAATTCCTTGATCCTGATTTTCAAACAGGGAAAGGGTGTTGAAGAGGAGATAATGGACATGATTGACAGAGAAGCTGATTGAAGTGACAGTCTTGAGGTTTGTTCTATGTCATTCAATTGCTGGAGGGACAGGCTTATATATATATATGTCCGCACATTGTTGTTTGATTTAGCTACAAAAATCAGGACCCCGGTTGTAGTAGTGTCTTCAACTAGAATACTGAAATTTTCTTGAAGACTTTGATTTGGTTGCAACTTGACTGCTCTCATCTACAATGAAGGTATGGGTTCCTATCTGTTGGAGGCTCTGAATGACCGCTACAGCAAGAAGCTGGTCCAGACATATAGTGTATTTCCTAACCAGATGGAGACAAGTGATGTGGTTGTCCAACCCTACAATTCACTTTTGACACACAAGCGTCTAACATTAAATGCTGATTGCGTTGTTGTTCCTGACAATACTGCACTCAATAGAATTGCTGTAGAGAGTTTACATCTAAGTAATCCTACATTTGCTCAAACAAGTTCTTTGGTCTCCACTGTGATGTCTGCAAGCACAACTACATTGCGGTATCCAGGTTATATGAACAACGATCTGGTTGGTCTTCTTGCCTCTTTAATTCCAACACCGAGATGTCATTTTCTTATGACGGGTTACACACCCCTTACAGTGGAGCGCCAGGTAAGTCAAATACTCATGTTATTTGTACTTTTAACTTTGTGGTTGATTGTGATTCCTTATCAACTGCTCCTTGCAGTTATTTTAAGAGTTAATTAGAGCCTTTATACAATTATGTCTATAATTGGTTCGCTTACTCTTCCATAATGTTTGGGGTGAAAAAGACAGCTGAAGCGTTATAATTCCATATCTTGTATTTTCGTTAACTTGATCATCTCAGGATACATCATCAGTCATTAATTAATTTTTTTAGGTTTGTTATTCCTGCAAAGAAAAAATATTCAGTGTTGTCTGATGCCTGTGTTTCTCTTCTTGGAAGGCCATGTTATCCGTAAAACTACCATGCTTGATGTTATGAGAAGACTTCTCCAGGTGAGATATGTAGGTTGTACTTGTTTCAAAACAGGTTGCATTTTTCTGACCATATGGTTCCTTGCAGACAAAAAATATTATGGTTTCCTCTTATGCACGCACAAAAGAAGCTAGCCATGCAAAGTATATCTCAATACTGAATATCATTCAGGGAGAAGTAGATCCGTAAATTATTTTTTATTGGAAATGATATAGCTTTTACATTAAATATATCTCTCAAGTCTGACATTCAAATTTTGTATAAGAAAATTATACATTTCATTCTTTATTCTTAAGAAGTATTAATGTTGATAAGATTGCTTGTTAGTTGTTAATGGTTATGCGTTCGAAGATCAACATTAATTTGTGCCTACCACATTTTAAATGTGGGGGAAAAGGTTTTGTGTCATTCATTCTTAATGGTTTGAACTTCTAATATTAAATAATTTCCATGTTTTACAGGTGCATGAAAGTCTACGGAGGATTCGTGAAAGAAAGCTAGTAAATTTTATTGAATGGGGCCCGGCAAGTATTCAGGTTTATTGATAGTTGAAGCAGTTGTCATCACTTTGGTCTATTCTTTTTTCTTATGATTTCTGGACTTGCGTGACCCATTTGTTATTTTGGTGTTTTTGTAGGTTGCTCTTTCTAGAAAGTCCCCATATATCCAGACTTCCCATAGGGTACAGTTCTAGTTCTAGTTCTCGTCTTTTGGAGTCTAGATCTCTTATTTTGCCTGTTTTTGGTCTGAATTTAATGGTAACAACTTTGAGCATTACTTTCTATCTCCTTAAAAATGGCCCTTTAATTGGAGAAATAAACAAGAAAGAATAAACAAGGGCATTTGCATTCTTCAGGTGAGTGGCCTCATGCTAGCTAGGGGTGTGCAAAACTACCCGACCCGGACCTAAAAAAACTGGGTAATTTTCTAAAAATAATTACCCGACCCGGCATTTCCCGGTTATATATATATATATATATATAATAATATAATGAATTATTTATATTATGAATTATTAGATTTTGTATTTCGAACTTTTAAATTTTATGTTCAGATATTAGAGTATGTAATTCGAAGTTTCGAACATTTAAATTTGTGTATATTTTTTCTAAATTAATAATTTGAAAATAAAAAAACCGGGTACTGGGTACCCGTAACATCCGGGTCGGGACACGAGCCGAGAAATCACCGACCCGAATGTTGCGGGTAACCAGTAATCAGGTACCCGGATTTGCACACCCCTAATGCTAGCAAGTCATACCTGCATCCGACACCTCTTCAGCAAATGCTTAAGCCAGTACGAGAAATGGAGAAAGAAGCAAGCATTTCTTGATAATTATCGGAAGTTCCCAATGTTCGCTGTGAGTTACCAGCATTTCACCCGCTTTCTAATTTATGATTGCTGTCACTATGCTTTTTGTGCGTGTTTAGATGAACATGTAATGCAAACATCTGCATGCATGAGTTTTATGCATAAACGTGTAAGGTGTAACATGTTTATTTACAGGCAACTGCATGAATTTGCAAACCTGCACAAAGAACATGTGCTTACTTCTATAGATTGGTTAAATGATCCGAGTTCCACGAATTAAATAATCAGTGCAATTTGATTGTTAATTCTGCAACCTGTTATTTGCTTCCAAAACCATACATTTTTCAATTGGATACAAAAACAATTACATTATGTTGATATTTTTATTCTAATCTCGTTCAACATGGACAGGACAATGATCTTTCTGAGTTTGATGAGTCGAGGGATATAATTGAAAGTTTGGTTGATGAATACAAGGCTTGTGAGCCACCAGATTATATCAAATGGGGCGTGGAGGTATATGCCTGTCTGGCCCAAACTTCAGTTTTTGAGCTCCTCTTGGCTGTAACTGATAACAATGTTATATGCGGGATCCTGAGCATAGTTTAACTTTAGAAGGAAATGTCTCGGGAACACTGGATTCAAATTTGGCTGTGTGAACGAAATAAGTAAAGCCTCAATTGTGTAGTCTTCTCGGGTAAGGATCTGTAAAGTAGTACTATTCTGCTCTTCAACGTTATGATATTAATTTTGAAAAAGATGCTAGCTGATTTAGAATCTGCCGTCGTTTTCAGTCTTTGCCTTAGGTTTATGGTGTGGTTTGAAATCAAAATTGAAGAAAATATCAAACCCCCCCCCAATTATTTCTTATTAATTTGATATTCCCTAGACAATTGGCATACACATTGTCTTTTAGTAGACGCGGTTAACGTTCTTGTATCCATTGGTTCCTTCATGCGTTTGTTTGTGCTATGCAATTATGTTAATATTTTTACTAAAAAATTGTGAACGCCACTTGCTTTCCCCGGAATTTGTTTCTTTACAGGACACCACATAAATATTAGGACCACTCTGGAGAGAATATTGTAAATTTTTCTTTTTAATATATCCATATGTGTATTTGAGTGAAGAAAATACACAGTTCTTTCTGTTTTTGGATGATGGCATCGTGGCTTGTAATGTGGTAATTGTTTTGAGTTTGAATTTAGGATTTTATTCATACTACATAAAACAAGAAAGATCTGCGTGGTTTGAGTTGGATGTGTGTGTGTGTGTGTATTTCCATAGGATTTGTTGTGTTGTGTTGTGTGGTAGTTGAAGTATTATCCCAACAGATCAGTTTACAGAATGGATTACAAGCATTTAAAATGGTTGGAGTGGGAATATGATTCCATTTCAAAATAAAAAAGTTATACTCCATTCCATGTGCATGGAATCAACATAGCATGTGTTATTATGTCATGGTCTGGACTCTGGTCCCATCCCATCCCACCCATGCTGCATTTGTTTATTATTATTACTATATATATATTTTTTAATTTCTCTAAACTCCCAAAGCAATAACCAGAAGGATAAAGACAACTATTTATATATGTAAAACATGTATGGGGATTTTTCTGAAGCCACGGCTACAAACTGTCAATAATGTTGAAAACATGGCAGGTGGAGGGTATCCGAGGCCAGTAGATGATTAGTTTTTGTATTCTACCTCAAGGTTCAAGTTTTGATGTAAAAATTATTCATCAACCGTTGATTTTATTATTTAGTATTTGAATGATAACTGATATGAAGCTCAAAATTATATTCATGTATGATCAATGCTTGAAAAATTAGATTAGTAACTGAGTAATGTATTTGGAGCTTAGATCATTCAGTCCTGACGAAATAGAAATGTTGATACTGATGATGGACACATGGATGGATATAGGGGTTTGGATGGGGGAGTCGTTCCCTTAAAAATCTAAAATTACTGTAGATTTTAGATTTTTTATATATTTTTATTTAAAAATATGTTTTCATTTATTGTTAAAATTTTAAAAATTTCATTCCCTACATAAAATCTTGAAAAGGGTTGTTAATTAAATAGAACTCAAATGCGAGTCGTGGACCGATTCAAAGAATTTGAGTCAGCCATTCACCAATTGGCAGCAAAGCTGATAATTATGGTCTGGCAACAGCAGCCAATAACACAAATTGCAAATGGCGATTGCACATTTAGGATGGAATCGTACGAAGTTTATAATATTTTAAAATACTGTATTTTAAAGATAAAATTTAATTACGTAACATTGACTATCGTACTCGAAAATATTTTCCAAATCCAAACTACAATATCTCTGATCCTAATAAGTTTACGTTAAGTTAATATCCACAAAATAACCACGGAATTTGCACTTGACATGAGAATCTCACCTAATTTACCATTATAAGTGTAAATCTTCATTTTCGTTTGAATTCAACTTAAATTTGGATAAAATATTATTATGCAAATCGTAAATTTCAATACCAACTTCTATTTGAAAACATTTGAAAAAAGAATAAAAATGAGCCGGCATTCAATGGAAGTAATAACCGAATAATACAGTATCAATAATAACGTTTAGAATTTTTATTTTATTTATAAAGAAATGAGTTTGGTATGAAAAGAGAAAACAACTAAGCAACAAACAACCTATGAACGGTCTGTCCCAACAAACAAAACAATACAGGAAAAAGAAAACCCTAACCCACATTCCCCTAGTTTTCCACTTTTCCTCCATTTTTAGTTCTTACAAATTAAAAATACAATCTTATTAACTCCCCTACTTATTATATAACCTCAACCTCATTATTTAAACCCAGAATTCCTCTTCAGAATTGCTCTACTTAAAACAAAAAACTTTCCTTTTTCTCCGAGCTTGTCTTCAACTCTGTGTTTCTGTTCGTCGCTCTCGTATCTTTGCCCTTTGCAGATAACAGTGTTAAAAACATGGCAGCCATTTCCTTCTGGGTTCTTATAAGCGTTGCTCTTGTTTTCGCCTTCGTCTCGCGCAATGTTGAAGCTCAGTCTGCTGCACCAGCACCTTCTCCTACAAGCGACGGTAACTAATCTTCTCTTCTACAAGCTGTTTTCAGGTCTCTAGAAATGTTCGAAAATGCGTTCGTTACAGGTCCGTTGAGCCCTTGCCAAAATATGTAATGGGTTCTTTTCACCTGAAATATTGATTCTCATTTTTTTTAAAACCACTGGTTTTCATTGTTTCTCACAGTTAAAATACAGAAGCTTTTTTTTCTCTTGAAAATGAAAATGCATTAGATCATTTACATATATCCATTTGATTTTTTGGCAGGAACTTCAATTGACCAAGGGATTGCTTACATTCTGATGCTTGTGGCACTGGTACTCACATACCTCATCCACCCTCTAGACGCATCCTCCTACACCTTCTTTTAAATTACATTATTACAATCATTCATTTAGTTCACAAATTGCTATGTTGATATATCTATCAAGTTCCATTTTTTCCCATTCTTTTTCTGGGTAAATGGGTCGCATTTGTTTTGAGAGATTGATGGGTTTCTGAACTTTTACTTAATATTACTTAATATTTTATTTCTTCTACTTCTTGATTCTTTTGCTTAAAATATCACTTTTAGAATCCTTTGTACCTGTTAGCCCCTCAGTTTCGTTCTTTCTAAATGACAGACTAAAAAACACCTGTAAATTACCAAATGAAGAGTCATCTTTCACTCCAATCTCAACAGAAGGCAAGTTTAAAGCAAAATTGAACCATCAAAATACTCTTTTATTGCAACTCTTAACAGGAAAAAGAAAAGGTTTCTGTAGTTCTGTTTCAACTTGCACATTGAATCAGGCTTTGCATTATGTGAACAATGAATAGGACAATATGCAGCCTGGAATTTCCAGACCCTAGAATTATTGAAGAAATGTTGCCTTTTTGAGTCTTGCGCTGAGCATGGGGGAATAAAAGAACAACTTTTCAGGGTTGTTTGAAGCAACATGATGGATTTTTTTGATGGGGGACCATACGTGTGTGCTGTTCTTTTATTTACATCTTTATGCCAGGTAACTATACTCCGAACATTAAATCGGCATTAGTTGTGGCACGAATCCAAGTCTTTCACTCATGATCTTCGTGTCTGTGATGTAAAGCGTACTTGACAACTTCATAAAATGAAACAACTATCCCCACGGAGGGACCAGTGCGACCAACACGAGGACCGAGTCCAGTAAACATCCCCTTTATCCTTCCATCCCTGCTCCAAATAACAGCTTTGGGACAATGAGTTAATAATGAAAGTGAATATTCTGGATAACCTCAAATGAGCTGAACTAATAATATATTGGGTAGATTGACTACAAGTTAGAGCAATATGTATTTCCTAAAATTGGCCTCAAGCACACACTACTGCTATAAAATAAAAGTTAGCATTGGCCTTCAGTTTGCTACTGCTTGTCTTTTGGGCGACCCCATTGGAGTATCTTAAACTATGTTGTTCAAGTTAGGTCCTACGAGACTAGGGGTGCTTAACGAGTTGAGCAGCCCGTGAGCAGCTCAAACTTGAATCGGTCAAAACTTGGTAAACGTTCGACTCGAGTTGGCTCGACTCGAACTCAAACTCGAGACCTTAACGAGCTGAGCTGCGCCGAGCAAAATCTAACTTAACTTGATAAGTTCGCAAGCAGCTCATTACTTTTTAAAATTTTATTTTTAGTAATTACTTCAAAATTATTTCAGTCAAAAAATAAATCTAAATAATAATTATTAATTTATTAATAAATAATAAAAATAATAATTTAACCAATCTATTATTTTTTAATAAATAATAAAATGTTATTAATTAATAATATTATTTTAATACAAAAAACCCAACCTTAATATCCTCATATAATACTAGTAAATTTATTTTTAGTTAAAAAAATAAGTTAAATTTTTTAGTGAGCTTAACGAGCAACGAGTCGAGCTTAACGAGCAACAAGTCGAGTTGAGCAGCAAATTTTTTTCACGAGCACGGGTCGAGCACAATTTTAACGAGCTTAATGAACAACGAGTCGTGTCGAGCAACAAATTTTTTAACGATCACGAGTCGAGCACTGTCCAACTCGCGATCGACTCGCTCGATAAGCACCCCTATACGAGACATTAATTTAGTCATTAATTAGAAGTTCTGCTACTATGCACTCAACAGCAACTAGAACAAAGATGTTATATTCTCTCAAGGAAAAGGAATAGCGCATACCTCCAAATTTCACGTAGAGTTTGTCTCGTAGTCATCTTCAATGACTTGGCAGGATCTTTCTGGAAATCATTAAAGAAAAGTTAAGAACCAAAAGCACTCATCCAAAGCAGATATCTGAAATAATAATATAAAAAAAAACTAGTTAAATCACTTCCTCAGAGATGCTTGCACTATTATGGTTAGATATTTAGGCAACCAGTTAGATCACTTTACCGTGCTTATATATATGTGACTACGTGTGCATGTGCCTGGTTTGTGCGTGATGGGGGGAAAGGGGCAGCAAGTGGCTGCTTTGTAATGTTCATCCTATCTTAACAGTATTTAAATGCATATCAAGTAAAGCTTGACTAGGAAGTTGAGACCTCTATCTGTCGTCGGGTCTTTGCAACATCTAGGGGACAAGTAATAGCAGCTGAAAAGCATCCTGCCACGAAACCAGAGGCAAAATTTGCCCCAAGGATGCTACCTGCACCAGCTTCATCACCCACTGAAGCAAGCAGTTTTCTCCTGATCTGAAGAGGGAGAAACCAGAATTAAGTTGAATGTATAAGCTAGCATCAAACATAATTAGAAATTAAAAAGAAAAAAGAACACTTATCATTCTTGAAGGGTTAAGGAAATGAAGTCTCACCGGCTCAAGTGTTGCCCAACAGATCGCAGAGAAAGGAACATCACGAGCAAGTTGTGAACTAAGGCCAGTCCATAAGACACGGTAGTTCTGTACTGCTATGAAGAATATGTGAGCAACAGTGGCCATCTTAGTTTAATCAAACTTTCTCAACTTTCTCATTTACAATAAAATTTCTCATTCAAGGCCAAACGGATTTTTTTTTTTCTGGCAGAGAGTAACCAATTCAATGGTTAACTTACAGTTTTGAATGCAATTTGTGCTTGTCACTGGGTTGATGACTCCAACTAACGTCTTCCATACGCCTGCAGGCTTCATACCACCTTTAGTTTCTTTAAATGCCTGGTAACAAATTAAAGATTCATAAATTTGAACTTCATTCACTTCTGCAGAGTAGCAAATCGAGTACTATTATAGTAATTCCCAGTCAAATTGGAAGAGGCACAAAAGACACTAAACCTGCATTCTGGTCCTCGCCAGTTCAACAGGATAACAAGTTATGCAAGCTAAAGAACGTGCAAATGTGCCTGCAACTAATGGGACATACGGGGTCAATGTTGGAGCATTATTAGCTGTGAATTCCTCCATTGAATTGCGGAAAATGTCATAGCAAGGCATGTAAATGCCAACCTGAATGACAGAAAAGAGTCCATGAGCCAAAAAATTAAGCACATAAAAATGCTACCTCACACTGATGCATGGGATAAAAATATGCAAAGCAGGGCAGCCATAGAAGTGAAGAGGAATTTTATGAGGGAGAAATAGAGAGACTCACGGTCGGCACAGCCAACGCTAAACTTGCATTTGTTCCTCTCCACAGTCTGGAAAACCCTTCCTGCAAAAATTCACTCCACAGAACCACCAAAAATAAGAGGTTGTCTGTGCATTGAAATATAAAGGAGATAATACCGATGTGTATGTATAAAGAGATTCTAAAGCATCTACAATCAAGGTTCAAATGATTATGCTATTATTCTTAGGTAGATAAAATAATTTCCACAATTGTGTAATATCTACCACTTGCTATTAACCGGATTCTGTTACCTATACTGAAGAAATACGACATCCCATTTATTCAAAAAAAAAACTTATCTATTCAAAAGCAGTGACATTACTGCATCAAGCACTCGAAGAACAAGTTTAATATAGTACTTAGCAAGTGCAAAACAACCAACCTGACGAATGACCTTATAGAAAACATCAAGCGTTCCGGTGTATCGATTACACTCAGGGCACACAGTGGTTCAGAACCAAGCACTGAACGCGAACATGATTGAGAGCTTCTCGTATCCGGGAACGTCTAAAACAGAATAGCAATGGAGGATAAGCCAGAATATGGGCAATGGAGCAGAATTAAGCACAAAACAATTTAAAGAACCAAATAAACTACTACTATAAACAATGTCTAAAACATATTGATACTGAAAACAAGGAAAGTGATGAATTTGATAAATACCGTATTCGTTTCAAAGCATGTCTTGTAAGGAACTCCAGCAGCCTGTGCTTGCAACCTTGTCTGGATGTCACCGAAAAGCAAATAGTTTCAGGAAAATTCGATTAATTCTTTGCATTGAGCTTCCTTTTTAATGTTGCAAAAGGCAAAATGCTTTAAAAGAACTTAAAGAAAATGAGAAGGGGTGATATTTTACAAGAAAGAAAAAACAATAGATACCTTGGCGACATCGAGAGGATTAACGATGACGGCGGATATAAAAGCGGCACCGGCGGCAGAGAATGCCCTCTGTCCGAAGCTCAAATTGACGTCGGTTACGGCTTTGGGGTTTAGGGATGTAGAATCATCGTGGGAAGTTTTTAACATGGTCTCAACGTTTCCTTCAAAGTCAACTCTGGAAGCGGACGCAGCGCTTATCCATGAAGGAAGCCCCTGTGTCGAGCTTACCATCTCTCTCTCTCTCCGGCTCTTGCAGTAAATCAAAATTCCATTGAAAGAGAAAAAAGAGACGGGTGGAAAGTTGGACAAAATATTGGAAGATTAGATTAGTTAGGTTTAATAGTTTCTTCCAGGGCTTTCCTTTTTCTTTTTTAATTATTAAACAATGAAAACAGAAAGTCAGATATTTGCATGGAGAAGACTGAAGAGGAGGCTACGCAATGTGATTCGTGGCGTGTAATTTAGGGCGCCGATCCTTCTTCTTTTCCAGGAAACTCTCATCCTAAACTCTCATCCTATACGAACTCATCGGCCCGATATACACCTTACCGAGACCTTTATTTATCAAAAGCTACAGATATTGGACTAAATCTCCAATTAAGCCCAAAAGATATCAACAGTTATCGGGGATGTATTTAACATTTCATTTTGTAATCATTTTAAGGTTGAGAATTGTTTAATATATAACATATCGTGTGACATGTGTTTTTTCTTTCTTTTAAAATGTATGAATTAAAAAATCAAAATATATGATTGGTGTTGATCGTTTAATAGAATTACTGACGAACTACCGATTATTGGTCAATTGCCTCTATTAAAACAACTCGGGAACCCAATTTGTAACTTATCTTCTTCTTCAACCTCAAGATTGGTGCTGATCGTTTAATAGAGATAGAACAACATGATTGCTTTGTATAGAGGTTGGGGGTCTTCTTGAATTGAATCTTGGTTGTAGAATGGGTAAAGTCT